GTAAGGTCATCTGTTTTATAGCTGTCATCCAGTACAGACTCTTGGGCTGCTTGGTGGCTGTTATTTTTAGGTGGCAGGGTACTTGTGGTGTCATATAGTCTCACTTTCTTTCTTTGAGAAGGAGACAGAAAAATATTTATTTCTTTGACGACGTAAATACTAATGTTCAAACCGTTGGTTTTTTCAAGGTACTGCAGTGCAACTGCCCTCAGCAGAACTTTACCCCGGTTAGAGTTCTTGTCTCATTCTTGAAGTATTTCATCCGTTTTTTCTGTAAGACTGAAAGCAGTAAACACACTTGTTCCTCAGCTGTCGCATTCTTACAATTGTTTATCTGTGTTTTTTTTTTTTTTTATTAAGCAAAGTAGAAGTCCAATACTGCTCAGAACTGTGGGCTTTCAGATTTGCCAAGAACCTAGCTTCTACAATAGGTGGTCTGCTAAACAGATGTTCAGAATGATCAATTTTGATATCAAAGTTGCTATTCTAATACTGGCCTCTAATACCATTTTTAAAAATCTTTGTTCTCTCAGCAGTCTGGATCTACAGTCCTGGAAACAAATTCTGCTTTTGAGGCAGTTTTATGATATAAACTTGTGACAGCGTGTGTAGGGTTGGCATCAATATGCCTGAGATAATTAAGCTTGTGCTGTATTTTTGTAGAAACTTGAGTCTGTAATGAGAATTAATCACTGTCCTCCTTTATCCAACCAGATGTTTGCTCAGCCACTGTGGGAAAAGTTCTTCACTTAAGCAGATGCTGTGAAAAGTCACCCGTGACATGGATGTGATGTCAGAATTTTTTACAGTAGCGCAGAAAGTGTTGCTAGCTCAGCACTAGTTGGGAGAAAGCAATGGAAAAAAATACTGGTACTATTTTCCTTTTGAATATACAGCCAAACAAGTAGATCTATACACACCTTCTTATGGTGTCAGAAGTTTTTCTATATAAAGACTCCTAAGTCCCAAACATCCCCTCTTCATGCTGTGTACGGAGCAGCTTGTATGCAGAGGGTTGTACTAAGAAGTTGAATTACTGTCTTGTTTGCTCTGAGCACAGAGGGGTATCTCTTAACAGTATATGACACATCACATGGATGAGAGGCTGTTTGAATCTCTTGCTGTTGAACTTAGTGGAACATTAAGGTGAGTAGCTGAAATTGCATGCTGTGCTTTGGGGAACAGGGAAGGAAGGGAAGGAGGAGAAGGCTTTGCTAATTTTTGAGTATTTAACATTTGTTCGAGAAGCGGGATGATTTGTGACGGTATTTAAGTGGAATTGATACGAGTCTGAGCTGTGGGCTGTACTAAATAAAGGCAGATAAAATATTCTCTGTATGGAGTGACCCCTGTCCATTCTAGGATCATGCCTAGTTATGGTTGAATCCTGCTTCAACTTTATTATTCCTATCATCATCAAAGTAGCCTCAAGATAAGTGGACTGCTTGATGTCATGTATATCAAATAAAGGACCCCACAAATAGCAGGATTTCACCTCTTTTGCTGGCTCTAACTTTACTTCTTCAAGTTAAGGCACTTTAACAATTTTACACAACAGGGACAATGGCTTGTCCCTGTGCTGGGGTAGAAAGCCATCATGAACATATACTTCTTGTTTCCTTTTGTGAACTGGGAAGAGGGTTTTTTCTGGTGCTTAGTGCTCTCTTCTTCTGCAGCCTTTAGGCGCTCAAGACTGTTAAAATCTTTTTAGGAAATAACTTTTAAGGATATCCAAAATCTTTTTAGAAATCTTTTAAGGATAGAATTTGGTTGTCTTGGAGCAGGCTGAGAAGAAGAGGAGGCTTAACTGATTCTGTAAGCTCAGTATAGGCTTGAACTTTTGATGATCTTTCACGCTAGCTTAACACTAGGTTTTGACGCTGTAATTTTAATGCTAGGTGAAACACAACTTTCTGCTGCTGAAGTTCAGGTTTCTATCGGTCTCTCTAGCTGATGTTCAATGTTAAAAAGCTCTTGAAATCGGGGTGGACATTGGGATAGAAGCCTTTGTTTGCAGACTAGCATACTGAAAGTCGAGGCTGGTGTTACTCTGATGTTTATTTAGCTCCTCAATCTGTAGAAGGAGGGCTGCTCTCCTTTAGCAGCTCTTGAAATTCAGTGCAGACTGTGTTGTTATTTTCATCCAGTCGTGATCGCATGTGTTGTCACTGCCAAACCAGAAGATGGACTGATTACATGTAACAAAACGCTAAGGTAGGGCTTTGGCTTGTGACCAGAAGCTGCATGCACACTCAGTGCAAAAATGAGACTGATTTGGGGAAATTGGTTCACATGGTGCCTATGCATTTGGGATCTCTAAGGTCGAAGGTAGCAAGCGTGCAGGCTAAGGCCCAAATTCCCAATGAGACTTGTACATAGATCACAATATTCATAAATTCAGAGTCTTATTTCACAGAAATACAATACAGGAATGTACAAACAGACATATGTTGTTATAGGATTCCTTATAAATAGTTGCTGATAATACAGGATGTTAGGCAGTGTTCCAAATGCTGTTTCATTCCAGCCAAAGCTTAATGGAGAGAGGTTTAGATTAGGATTGGCTTTATGCACTTAAAACATTTGCATGTATCTAGCATCTTCATCTTCTTGTTTACTAACTGTCATTGTGAGACTTATAACTAATTGACGTTTTCCGTATCCCGTGCCACTGACCATCTTTGATAGCAATTTTGCGAGATGTCAGCATTTCAAAGTGACTTCATGAACTGTGTGTGCAGTGGAGTACTACCTTCCAATCTTAGAAGTGTCACTGAGTTTTGGGACAAACGTTAGGACTCCCACAGAAAGAAAACAGAATGATTTGCATGTGAAAACTTCAGCTTCAGGTTGCTAACACTTAATGTTGGTTTGTATTTTCCTTCTGGACAATTCTGGGCATTCTGAAAACAAAGTTCTCAGACTCTGAAGTAAAAACCAACATGCCCAGAAATGCAGAGTTTAATGGATGATTTCCAAACATTAGTGTTTTCCCTCCTAGAATCTTCCTGAGATTGTAATTTTACCCCTCCTAGCCTTTGTACTCAGCAAGTTTCTCACTAACCAGCAGCAAGACACTAACCTGAGTGTCTTTTCAGCATCTCTTCCCTGGTGAGTTAGTGTGATCTGCGTCCCAGCGAGTGGAGACATTTGTAAAAAGGCCTGGTTCAGCACTGATGCTGCATGTTTGTTGGGTGTATTCTGTGGCTTCTGTGCCTTAGTAAGGTGAGCTGGCTCTTCCAGTTGGTTAGATCCCCTCTCCTGCTGTGTGAATAAGATGCACGGGTAGGAGCATGGGAGATTGATCACTCGAGTGATTCAGCAGTGGTGTGTGCATAAGAAGGCAGTTGAGCTCATCTGCTTGAGTTGTCATTAACTCCGTGAACTGGGCCTTGAGGACGAACTCGTCCAGAGTGGTAAATTCAGTGAAAATGGCAGACTTCCAGCTTTAACGCACTCCCCTGAGTTGCAAGAACTGGGGATGTTTTTCACTTTATTCAGAAAAATATTATGTCATGACCACTGATTTTCTTCAAATGCCTTTCATTCACTCACATGACACTGTTTCCCAAGTTTGGGAAATTCTGCAATGTTCTTAGCAGCAGCATGCTACGTATTGCCTGGACCTATATCCTGTTAGCTCTAGTGCCCCATCGGCCTTAGTTTCCCAATCCCAAGCCCTTTGTACCAAGAACAGGCCTTGAAGTTAGATATGAAGTACTTGTTTCCAGTCTGTTGCATCACTTGTCCTCTATGAGGAGGGTCCCTAAGCTGATCTGTGCTACTGATACACAGATACGTCTGAGCTATACAATCACCATTGCTGGGGCTATGACCTCGCTTGCTTATGGCTGGTTCTCTAATGTTAATTCCAGAAGTGCTGTCCATGGCCAGTGCTCTGCACATGTTCTCACTTCACTCCTTCATGTGTGCCCACCCCCAGGGACCAAAAATGTTTTGGTCTGTTGCTGTTCCTCCGTGCTCTGGAACAACATTCATCCCCTTTGCTGGAGAAGGGAATGGCAGGACTATGAAAGGGAAGGCAGTCTTTATTTTGTCCTGAAGCATTAGCTCTCCCTTACCAGCCAGGGCTGCTAGCAGTTGCTACCCTTTCTGCAGCAGGCAGCGTGTTTGAGCTATATATGTTCATATATGGTCATGCATATGACTGTCAAGTGTCTGTGACTGCTTATGCAGAATGTACACATACTTTCTACATGTTACATATTTTAGCAGTGTGTCACTGCTGAGTACTTTGAAATTAGAGAAGCTTCCTCGTGCCCTCAGCGACTGCAGTGAGAGGGATAGGAAAACAGGTAGATAGTATTTTCTCTTCCAGCAAATTGGCGCTGGGTTTTCAAAAAGAATGGAAATAGTACTCCATATTCAATCGCTAACATGATTGTCTGAATGCAACCGTATGTTTGATGGGCAAGGAACAGAATTAGCTTATCTGCAATACTTACCTGAAGCTAAGATAGGAATTTTCTCCCTGCTGGTACTGGTGTTTGCCTAAAACAGGCAAGAGGAGTAGTGGGACTGATCAATGCCTCAACACCTTTCAGGTCAGGCAGAGGAAAGTAAAGTAATTGAAAGTAAAAAGCAATCTTCTGCTGCCTCCTGCTTTGAAGGATATTGAGAAAATACATTTTCAAGTTGAATAGGAGCTGCACTAAAGAAATTGCCACATACTTTCATCCAATCTTGAATGGTGTTGGGAAATGCTGGGTGTGACTTTGATCCCTTTCCTAAGCACACAGACCAGTCATCTGTGCATGGGTGGTGAGTCGAGAGGTTCTAGTTTCAGCCTGAACCATCTATCTTAGATGTGGGTGGCTGGAGATTGTTGTTTGCTTTTCTTATTGACGTGGAGACTCTATATGCACCTAAGATTTTAAAGTGGTTTTTTTTTTTTCATTTACTACTAATAGCCATGCTTCATATTGTTGTTTTTTTCCTATTTTCCGCATTTTCTCTTTTTTCCAGTAATGGTAGGCTCTGTAAGTTACAAGTCATGTGATTTCATGACACATGTATGCATATATATATAAGTACAGGAGATGCCTGGTGACTCTGCTCAGACTGCTCTGAACTTCCCTCCTCAGAACTGCCGGTCGTTTTGAAGAGGTTATTTGCCACCATGATGCCTGGGGGCTTATCTGACACCAAGCCTGCTACCCCAGAAGTCCAGCATATTGTTCACCAGGTGAGTTGCAACATATCTAAAGATGAAGAACAGTCTGTGTGTGCAGGGGACAAGTCCCGAAGCTTGTGCAAAGATTGAGAGACCAGGTAGTGACACTGAACTAGTGTTTAAACTGAAGAAGCTAGGGCTGAAAATGGGAGTCCTCTTGATTGCCAGTGTTTTGTCAGCACTTGATGCAGGAACTTTACCAGTAACACAGAGGTAAACCATTTCTCTCTCTTGTCCTTGTCCGTAGCCAGGCATCGTACTGGCTACCTTCAGTTAACATTTGCATGTAGTTCAAAGACTAGCTCTATCAAGCCAGCAGTGGAGTCACTTGTTTGAAGTTAAGGGCGATAACATTTGAAGGGAGGGGGTTATACCTGATAGAATTAATTCTTCAGTGAAGAACCTGATTAGGACAAGCCATGTGGTAGGATGCACGAGAAACAAAGACGCTTGCAGGACATGGATAACTGGCATTTTCTTTGCTGGCATCTGGTATTTTCGAGAGTCACAGATGTGATGCAAGGGCTTCTGGTGAGCCAGCAGGGAAGGGTGAGCTGAGTACAAGCAGGCAGGATGAGTTCAGCTGCCATGGTGGTCAGTGGGGCTGTTGTGGAAGCAGCTGTGTGGACCACATGTGCAGATCCTATAACATCCTGCAATGCAGCACTTATTAAATGGTACGAAATGCATCCTGAGGAGTGGGAGGGGCACAGTGTGACATGGGACGTCTCCTTTTGTCTCCCTTGCCTGTTCTCTCCACCACCCCTGCCGTCCCCTTCATCCTCCCAACTCTGGAAGATGAGCTCTTCCCTCTTTGGCAACCATGCAGAGTGCAGCTAATTAAAGCCCCGTGGTGGGGCAATCCCCTTACGCTTCCAGCCAGAGAAGTACTACACTTCAGGAGATGCAATTCTGTAGGATTTTATCCTCTGCTAAGAGGAGGAGCAATTCACGTGAACAAAGTTGTGAAGAGCATGTGCAAACCCTGGGATGCCCAAGGTCTATCTGCTCTTGGAATTATGGAATCATTTACTTGCACCTTTACCTTGTCTCTAGTCTAATTCTCAGTGACCTAGGGAACGTGTTATTTGTTCAGTTCCCTTGTATTACAGCTGTTGCCTATAAACTGGGGAATGTTTGAGGTTTAACGAGCTGTTGGATATGAGCTGAGGAGTGTTATATTTTCTATTTGGTTAAGGTGCTGTCTGCATGCCTGATCTTACTAAAGACTCAGTCAACAAATAACAAGTGGTCAGAGGTGGGAGAGCTCGTAAGTCAGGAGAGAGGGAGAACTGACTTTGTTTTGTTCTGAGACAGGAATAATAAGTACCCAAAGATGCCACAGTTAACTTGCATATGGTTAATTTACATTTCTAGAAGCCTACAGACTCTGTCAGCTGGAAGAG